CACAACACACTGGATAGCTGGCCAATCACAGCACACCTCACTTTTTAGACCGATTAGCTTTGTAAAAATCGAAGCGTTTCAGAAAGGCGGGGCATAGAGGAGAAACAATAATGTACATTATATGGAAAATAATGTGTTTTTTTAACCTTAAACCGCATAAACACATTGCATTACACCAAATACACAACATAATGTTCTTTTTAGCAACGTCATATGACCCCTTTAAAACCATCACTTTAAGCAGGTACGCACGCTGTGGACGCCTAGAGCCTTCCAAACGGTGAAGCTCAGGAGACCAACCCCACACCAGGCGTAAAGGGAGCCCCATCCCAACGCCCGCAACGCTAACGACGCACCGCTTTCTGGCACCGCAGCAGTTCCTATTGCACCCTGAGCACATCAAGAGGAAAAGAGGGTCATTTACTGCAGATATTGTACTAAAGTATTTTGTTCAGTATGCTTACACTTAGCTACAAATGTATATTATATTACTAAATACTACTTTGGGTCAAGTGAGCCACCGTTCATAACCCATTTTACTTCTGTAGTCTGGTGCATTATAAAGTGAAACAGGAAAACGTAAGGAAGGACCTTGATTTGATCTATCAGGCTTTAATTAGATCATGGAAATTGAGAATTAATTGATTCATAACAACATCCGAACAGGAAGTCATTTCAAAGGAAGAACACATTGCTTTGTTTCGGAAAAAGATTACAAAAACATTTTTTTTTTCTTTGCAGTAACAGACACGGATTACATTTTCACAACCAAAGCAGCATTAAAATGTGCATTAAAAAGTAAGAACTGAGCTTCACAAAACCCCATTTGTTCTCAGAGCTCAAGAATAAAAAGCCTCGAACACAACTATAACCACATTTCTGTAATAATCCTCCTCCAAAATATAAAAGGTTTAAAAATATATATTTTTCAGAGGCGAAAAACAACAACAGATGTACTAGTATAATATACAGGTATGCATTTATTTTATTCAGAAATAATGTAAAATACAGGTAAACAAAACTATTACAAACACTATAAATGTATATTAGCTCTACAACACTATTCAGAACAGATATAAAAATATAGTTTAAGTATAAAACAAACATAATACTGGGATTCATTATAAACAGCATTACTTATAAATGCCAGACACAAACAAATTTAAAGAGAACCAAACTACTAAGTTGCTTCAGAATAAAAGTAGCAGCACGTTTCAGAAGAAAAAAAAAACAATATTTATGAATTGCACAAAATAAGATCAGAAACGTAGTTTATTAAGAAAGTAAATAGGGACCGTTTTGATTTCATGTTGACTTTAGTAACTAAGTAGTTTGTGTACGCAAGTCTCAAACAGATGCAGCCACCGCTAATGACATTAACATTGTCTTAATGTGATTTAGTGTTTTTAGTGCTCTACATATTAGATTTGCTCTTATTAGAGCTTACATTGTAGCAGCCATCAAGGAACATGCTCTAGAAACAGTAATAATAAAAACTTGACAGCTAAAGATACTGATATAATCATTATAACTATTATAATGATTTAACTAAATTATTTATACATTCTGTATTGAGTTTTATATATATATATATATATATATATATATATATATATAGAGATTCCCAATGATATGACGCTACTCTGCCCACCCTTAAATTTGTATGATATATGTGACCGTGGACCACAAAACCAGCCATAAGTGTTAATTTCTCGAAATTGAGCTTTATACATCATCTGAAATCTGAATAAGTAAACTTTCCATTGATGTATGGTTTGTTAGGACAGGACAATATTTATATCCCCCAGCGACTGAAGACTGGTTTTGTGCTCCAGGGTCACAAATATGACTCGAGTCCCTCCATCAGTGTAAGCTTACGAGAGCTTTCTGTCTGCCTGGCAAAATCTACAAGTCTAATCACTTCGGAAAAAAATTATAAAGTAATACCACATCTATCCCCAACAAGCTACACATTTTGAGGTATCATCTATGTCCATATCGCAAACACCGTGGGACAAGTTGATACTGTGCCGAAGTGATACTGCCCTGAGAGGACACAAGTCTAGTCAAAGTGATTTGTCATTACAGGAACTGGGCAAGACACATGATCCGTCGGCGTCACTGACCTCATATTGGATTTAGCCACTTAAAAAGCATTTTTGGCAAGACGCGTGTTTACTGATGTGGCGGTGGCCTAAAAATAGCAATGCAAAAACAAAAACAAAAAAAAGAGAGTACAAAGAGGCTACTGTTCATCTCTGAGTTTATGATCAAAATAAGTTCGATGTCAGCATTTACGCAATGTCTAATTCTGTGAAGTTAGCAGACATGAGCCAGCCATGCTCTACTGATCAGATCAATACCAGAACAGAAAACCGCTTCCAAGAATGAAGACAGAGATTTCTGTAAGAAGAGCAGCACTATGTCGTCACATTTTCTATATATATATTATATATACACAGTATATATATTTAGAATATATACATTACCAGTCAAAACTTTGGGATCAGAATGATTTTTAATGTTTTTTACAGGAGTTTCTGATGCTTATCAAGGCTGCATTTATTTGATCAAAAATACAGGAAAAAATGTAATATTGTGAAATATTATTATGATGTAAAATAACGTTTTTCTATTTTAATATACATTAAAATGCAATTTATTCATTATATTTTATAGGATATTAAAATAGAAACCATTATTTTACACTGTAATAACATTTTGCAAGATTACTGTTTTTTTTCTGTATTTTTGATCAAATAAACGCAGCCTTGATGAGCATAAGAAACTTCTTTAAAAACATTACAAGTCTTACTGATCCCCAACTTTTGAGCGGCAGTGTATATTTTTTGACAAATATTGCTATTGCAATTTGAACTGAGACGAGATAAACATGTCATATTTTGCTCACATACTGAACTAAGATCTCAGTTTTCTTTGCATTCTTATTATTGCAGATATTAATAATAATAATAATAATTAAAATGTTTAATTGAAATGCCACTTAATTATGACAGTGTCACTTTTCATTTATACTTTTATTGAGTTGGCCATTACTGTTAATAATAATAAGAAAGCTTATTCTACTTAATTGTGACAGTCACAGTCGAGATATATTTAACTGTCAAGTTGAACATTCTAGTTGATAATAATAATGATAGGATTTTTTTTACTCCACTTAACTGTGATAAGGTCACTTTTTTAGAACACTGTTAAGTTTAATATTTTTGTTGATAATAACAACATGATTAATAATTACAGGATTTGTTCTTTATTGTTCTTAATTAAGACTGTCATTTTTTTGGTAACACTTTATAATAAGGTTCATTAGTTAACTACTTTAGTTAACATGAGCTAAGCATGAACAACACAGCATTTATTAATCGTAGTTAATGATATTTTCAAAATGTACTAATGCATTATTAAAATCAAAAGTTATGCTTGATAACATTAGTTAATGCACTGTGAATTAACATAACCTAACAACTGTATTTTCATTAACGAACATGAACAAATACTGTAATAAATGTATTGTTCATCATGTTAGTTAATACATTAACTAATGGAACCTTATTGTAAAGTGTTACCCGTTTTTCATTTGCACTTTTTTTGGAACACTATCAAGTTATTATTGAAAGAAAAAAAAACGAATAATAACATAAGAAACTATTTTACAACGGAAATATATTTCTGTTACGATTTCTTCGCTTTTACATGTCAAAACCCCAAAGGAAGACCTCTGATTTCCAGTGTGTAGTTGATGCGCAATTCTAAATGTTAGTCCTGGACTGCAGAGAATCTTGATACCTTATTAAACCAGTCAGGACTCTTCTTCTTAGCCATGGCAAGGGTGGACCCGAACCCTGCAATCATACCCGCTGTGGCTACAGTAGTGAGGAAAACACCACCTGAATAAAAGGACAATAAACAACACACCGAGGTGAACATTTTAAAGGAACATTCGAAGTATGAACATGCTGTGATAACACCGTCTGCTTCAACAGCATGTCTAGACAATAATATATCACTGACAAACGTTAAAAGCCATTGGATTAAAAACAGAAGGAATTAGGTACTACAATATTTAGTGAAATACTTCGAGGCATCATTAACTAACGCTGACTGCAGCACATGTTGGGTTTGTTCTCATGCGTTCATCTTCTACAGACCACATGAAGTAACAGCACCACGGCAAACGCATAGAGCGCAAACAGAGCAGAGGGCCATAGAAACTGATTTTGTTGTGCTAATGTACTGTATAAAGAGGTTCGAGGATGTTAAGCGATGGTATGTGCTTCTGTGATTCCTTATTCATTTTAAGAAAACCAAAATTAATTGCTGAATGATGAACTACACTACAATGATCCTGGCAAGACAATCTCCAAGCAAAAAAAGCAAAAGAGCTCAGCAGTGATCCATGAAGCATTGGAAGAACTATATAATTCACTATGCCTAAAGAGAAAATGAATGGGGGAAAAACAAGAGATCTGAAAAATTGGGTGGTCAAAGGATTTCATACTAATAACAACAACAAATTACCATATTGACCCGAATATAAGACAATGTTTTTTTCTTGGAAATACATCTAAAAAAACGCGGTCGTCTTATATTCAGGGTCTAGACTTTGACATGTCAATAAAGTGTATGTCAGCCTATAGTTTGATATAAGGTAAACAATTTATTTGTGCTGTTTTTTTTCTTAAATATTATATATTTTTATAGGAGGAGGCTTTATAGACTTGGAAAATGCATTTTCCTGAAGTTTTTAGGTACAGACATCTGTTCTTGGCAGTTTTTATGAGGCTTTTTTTTTTTTTAATAGTGTTCATATCGATATCGGAATTATATCGTATCGACCGAAATTAAGAAATATACCGTGATATCAATTTTGGCCATATCGTCCAGCCCTAACTAAACATTTGAACAAAAAAAGGCACTGAAAATCTTACCTATCATTTATAGGTTAGACTTTGCCATAATATAACGAATATAACATTTTAAGAACTTATTTATGAAATAAATGCTGATAATACACTATTTTTTAAAAGGTTGAAAAAACATTCCCTCATAAATGCAATGTAAAACCGCAAATCGTTTTAATATTTTTGTTACAAGCAACAACACTAACAATTATCATTTAAATCTCAGAACATAAAGTAATTCATAAAGCTTGTGCAGATTCATACCCATGGCCGCATATGCTACCGAAATACACCAAACCTTTAATCAGGTGAGCTTTGTCCTCCTCAGTGTCAGCGGCTGTCCCTCTCGCGCTCGCCTGCTCCACGGACATCTTGAACGGGTCCGACTTACACAGACGTCCGGTGGAAACACGGCCGGCGGAACCTAATAATGCCAAATGATATGGAACTAGACATGTGTCGGTAAGTAAGAGGAGGACTGAGATTCCGCCGATCAGCCCGGCTGTGTTTTAAAGCGGAGTGAACCGCCTACCTAGACAGCATTCGGGGTATCATCACAGACTGAGAAAGAAGAGCTATGTCTATAGACTCGTAATGTTCATTATTGTCTTTTTGAATGTTCATGTTGTTATATTTTATTGTTATAATCAGTGTTGGGGAAAGTTACTTTTAAAAGTAATGCATTACAATATTGCGTTACACCATAAAAAAGTAACGAATTACGTTACTTCATTACTTTTTATGGAAAGTAATGCATTGCGCTACTTTTGCGTTACTTTTTGCTTGCTTGTTTGTTTTTAAAATAAAAAAGTTATATTTTTTGCTAACATAAAAGCCTTTTCACACCAAAAGTGAAATGAATAAGCCTCAGGCTGAAGGGAAAGTAAATTTACGTCCGTACAGTAGAATGTAGTTAGAAAAAATCTCAACACACTTCAGCAATAAACAAAGACACACAAATGTATGTCTAGAGTAATTTTTGCTTATTAGTACGGTTGAACTGGATCATCGAAGGTCAGAAGCAAAGACATTGGTTAATAGAATGGGATTAAATACATAAAGGATATTTGTGTTGTTTAACATTTAATTATTGCAGGTTTGTGTCATATTCTGAGTCGCATTACTTTTATTCATTTCGAGGAATACTGAATCTGTGTTTTTTGTGAGTGAGATGAATTAATGCATATTCATATTTATTTTAGAACTACAGTAACATCTTCTGATTTCTCTCAACATGGGGACGGGGCAGTTGTCAATCAATAAATTGGAAAAAAAAAAGTAACTTGCGTTACTTATTTGAAAAAGTAACTCAGATATTCTCTTGTAAATTAAAAAGTAATGCGTTACTTTACTAGATACTTGAAAAAAGTAATCTGATTACGTAACTCGCGTTACTTGTAATGCGTTACCCCCAACACTGGTTATAATATTTATGACATTTTATTTGGTTAGATAGCCTAGTTAGCTTGTGTTTTTATTGATGCTACAACATAAGCACAAAAAACCCACCTCGTCGAAAAGACGTCAATGGCAGACGTTTAAACAACGTTAAAATTTAGTTGAAAAGTGAAAGGTGAAAAGACCTATAAAAAGACGTCTAAATGTGGTTGTAAAGTTAAAGTTGAAAAGACGTCTTTTCAGGCCTAATTACAACCGTGAATTCCTTGATTATATTTATATTTCATATGAATAATTAATGTCAAAATAAGACAATTCACAAAAGAGTACCAAAACATTTATTGACACACATTAAATACATCTTTCACGTAAAAAAAAACACTTTCCTGATCACATCTTAAGCCTGCATTTGATCAAACATACAGTAAAAACAGTAACATTGTGAAATATAACTACAGAAATAATTGCTTTCTATATGAATGCATTGTAAAATGTAATTTCTCCCTGTGAACGGAATTTTCAGCATCATTCCTCCAGTCTTCAGTGTCACATGATCCTTCAGAAATCATTGTAATATACTGATTTGCTGCTCAAGAAACATTTCTGATTATTATCAATGTGGAAAACAGTTGTGCTGCCCAATATTTTTGTGGAAACCATGACATTTTTCAGTATTCTTTGAATAGAGCTTGCCTGATAAGTGCCTACGATTGCTGTCTATACAGGTGACTTGTTCGCTCTGTCTTGAGACAAACAAACAAAAAGCGGTTTACTCAGTTTTGAAATGCATGCCTCCAAAAACAGTGTAGGCTGGCAAATCAGTCTTTTGAGACATGCTTGAAAATTCTAGGTTTTGAAGCACAGGTACCCCAAAACGTTGCCTAGATTTGCAGCTGACTTGGTTTCTTTTGAGGCATGCTTTCTAGATAGATCACTAGGTTTTAAGAGAGCTGTACAGGCAGCTCAGCTTGTTCTGTTTTGAGCACACCCAGATATGCTGTCTACATAGATAGCTCGCTATGATTTGAGACGGCGCCGCTGTTTATAGGGTCATCGTGTGCTGTGAGCTCATGCAGTTCACTCGGTGATCTACTCCATCCACGTCCTGCGCACAGCGAGCCTCTCCTTCATCATCATCATCGATATAGATGATCAGACACCCTCCTCTGTCTGTTCGCTCTTGTAATACTCAGAACTAGATTTTCAGCTGCCGATCGTGCTATGAAGACCCTCTAGTGAACGGGATTACGAGGACATCGGAAGGACGTTTTTAGCGTTATATTCCAAATGTTTGGAGTTGGTCTGGTTTCAACGCAGCGCTTCTGAACCGCATTAACGGAGTTACAAGCTTTAAGACGCCCAGCAGACAAAGCGACATTTCTGGGCATGATGTCCACATGCCTCTGTGTCCTGGAGCGCATCCTGTTGTGTAGAGGCTACATGATCTGCAATGGAGTTATCCAAACAAACATGTAAACCAGACAACGCGGAGCGTATTCCTTTCCCGTCGTATCGGATGCAAATATTAGCATTTTTAATGTAATGCAATTAAAACCTTGCAGATTTCAATAAAACATGGAGATAAGAAAATGGTTCCTTGGTTACAGTTCCACGCTTTTCTTTGACTGGGTTGTGTAATGCTTCCTCCATCAGATCAGAGATGTTTCTGCAAGATCCAACTGTCTCCTTAGTTCCTTGAGGACATTTGAATTCTGATTCCCTTGTGTTGCTTTAAAGTTTTGTTTTATTGCTGGCGGGTAAATGACAGGCAACATGCATCTTGGGGTTGAGGAGCCCATCCGAGAGTGCCAGTACAATCAGATCTGCACACATAACTCCTCACCCATGGGCACTCCACACACCAAGAAGAAGAAGATCAAAAGGAAATGGCAGGTTTTTCAAGGACGAAATAAGTTTTACTGCAACGGGCGGATCATGATGGCAAAGCAGACTGGGGTCTTCTATCTTACCATGGTTCTCATTTTGGTGACCAGTGGCCTCTTCTTTGCCTTTGAGTAAGTACATTGCCCTACTGGAGAACTAAGTATCTCCTCTGTAGCCCAGACTCTACGTTTTTTAGGTTTGTCTTTATGCACACTTTCAAAAATAAAAGGTTCGTTGGCATCAGTGGTTCCATAAAGAACCTTAAACATCCATGGGGCCTTTCCATTGCTCAAAGGGTTCTTAGAAAGAGTTTTTTTTCACACTAATTTAAAAAAATGTTTCTTTTAGGACCCCAAAATGATTATTTAATGGCATTGCTGCGGGGAAAAAAAGTCTTATTAAGAGTGTTCCATAAGAAAAGACCTATTCTTTGAAGGACCTCAGAGTAATTGGTAAATACCATGATATGTGAATACAGAAATCATTCAATATTACAAACTGATCACCAGTTGCCATCACTACAGTTCTGTTTTGTGTTTGAGTTTGAAGTGATTGTCATGATCACTAATGATGAAGTCCAAAAATGGGTAGTCCCACATTCATAAAAGTACAGGGCCGTCCTTAGGGGGGGTGCAACTGGTGCGGTCGCACCGGGCCCCGCGGCGAATGGAACATGATCATGAACGGACCAAGGGGGGCCCCGCTCCCTACCTCGCACCGGGCCCCGCGTCTGCTAAGGACGGCCCTGTAAAAGTATATGCAAATTTGATCTTAGAGACTAGATTTGACAAGTCTGTGTAGGTCCCTCTTCTTGTATTTGCCAGATTACTCTTGATAAAGACAGCTGAATGTGGTCTGGGATCCTGAAGAGCAGTTCCACTCAAACCAGTGCACTAATTTCGACCCTCTCACTAACACTGAAGGACATTTACAAGTGGTAAATCTGGTGTAATAGAATTACTTCAGTCCACGTAACTTCACTGCAGCTGTAAGGAACTCCTTGTCTTTGTAGGTCAGGTGAAGTTGAACTAACCCAGTGTCGAAATATCTTCCGAAGATCTTCAGACAAGAGAGCTTTTTGGGGGGTTACAGTTTAAAACGCATATCAGGTGGTACGAGACCGCTCTGCATTACTCGAAGCATGTTTGCCTGTAAGCCGCCGCTGGTTGTTAGAGAATCTCTCGGTGTGATCCTGAGGCGGCTGCTTTGGATGAGGGATGTGTGGAGCAGATTTTCCGGTGTCCCATCCCCCATCATCACCAAGCCCCATACATTCCATAACACAACTTCCAAAACATAGTCGTGGTGCGGTCCTGTTTCCATGGCGACGGTTTCCCTTTCCCGATCTTTGTGTGCTTTTGGAACAGCCTGTGTCTCCTTGGAAACAACATGACGACCCAGCCCACAGTTGTATTTTCTTCGCTCTAGGGTTAGTCTTGTCATGCTTTTTGAAACGATTATAAAGTCATTACAGAGATTTTGTGATCCATTAAACACAGATCGCTGAAACCACAGACAGAAACACATTCGCTGTGCTGGTGAAAGGCAGTTGGTTTGTTGCGCAGTTCAGCACAAAATGTTTACTCGTAAATCATTTCAAGCAAACAATAATGGTTAGATTGAATGCAAAACACCCTTTTGAATGCATTCAGCTTGTGGATCATAGGCAGGAATAAAATGGGTTAAGCAATAAGACTAAATGAAATGAAAGCAGAATGTGGAGTTTAAACTGTACTTTGCAGATACTTAGGCTACATCATGTTTCTTTCTGGCATCCCTGCACAAAAAATGCATAATAAAATGATCATGTTTACCAGCTTAGCATGATCATGAAGTTGAACATTTTATATATAACTTGTATAACTTTCCATTGCTAGTAAGCAATTTTATCAAACTATGAAACCAAGGCATACACTACAGTTAAAATATTTTTTGAAAGGAAATTAATAGTTTTATTCAGCAAGGATGCATTAAATTAATCAAAAGTGACGGTAAAGACATTTATAATGTTAGAACATTTATTATTCAAATAAATGCGGTTCTTTTAACTTTCTATTCATCAAAGAATCCTAAAAAAAAGTGTCATGGGTTCCACAAAATATTAAGCAGCACCTTTTAACCTTGATAAAACTGATAATAATCGTGGACACCAAATCAGCATATTAGTATGATTTCTGAAGGATCACGTGACACTAAAGACTGGAGTAATGATGCTGAAAATTCAGCTTTGCTATCACAGGAATAAATGACATTTTAAAATGTATTCAAATATAAAATGGTTATTTTAAGTTTCAATAATATGTCACAGTAGTACTGTTTTTGACTGTATTTTTATCAAATAAATTGGTAAGCATAAGACACTTTTTTCAGAAACATAAAAAAAAATATCTTAGAGACTCCAAACTTTTGAACAATAGTGCATAATATTTCAGTCTTAAGGTTATACTTCTGAAATAATGTATAGTTTTTTTCTTTATTCCATGCAGTGAAATGGTTTGTTCCATTGTAAATAGTAATTGAAGATATAATCAATAGCACAAATACTGTCCATTGTCCATATTGAACATGAATATTCCTTTAAAGAGAAGTCTTTATAAACAGCCAGATGAAAATACAAACATATATGTGTATATATATATATATAGAGAGAGAGAGAGAGAGAGAGAGAGCAAACAATATGGAATGGGAGACAGTGGGTATAGAAAAGAATCACCCGCTTTAAAATAATCTTCCGCAGCCGTCTTCATTTTAGGCTGCAAAGCAACAAAATGTGATTATTTTAAAGGGGGTGATTCTTTTCTATACCCACTGTAGATCTTGACAGCTCCAAATTCAGCAGCACTGTTTCTGTAGTCTTTAGACATTTGAGTTCAGAAACCTTAATCTCCAAGTATAAAATGTGACTTAATAACAGACTTCAACTCTTGCCGTGGTGAAAGTCCTTGTCTGTCAGGATGTAGCGAGTGACCCTGTAACCTCTCAGTCCGTCATAACAACCTCAAAACTGCTCCTAGGAGACCACTTCACAAGGAATCTTTAGAGCTGTAAAGCTGACAATGACCTTAGAAGCAGTGGTAAACACAATATAGCATCCTTAAAAGGTCCCTTGGGGGATTGCTATTTTAACATGCTATAGTCGATAGCATCTGACCATTTTGGCTAATTCAATTGCTCTGCCTAGTTGTGCTTAGCCAATTTAGCAGCCATCAGATTGCAGTGCAGACCATTTTTAAATGTTTATGTCTTGGAGTCTGAATACCATTAGATATTATGGCAGGCAGATTTTGGGACTCGCACCACAGACCGTTTGCTTATGCTTCAAAACAGATGGTGATACACTTCATTAACTTCTAAGTGTACAAAAAAGCTAGTTGGGATTCATTTTTTCAAATATTTTTATCCCAACCCCCCTATAAAAATGCATTAGATTTAGATTATTTTCATATAGCTCATTCATTGGTGAGATTCACACTCTCTTATTTTATCACTCCTCTGTTTGATACCAAGCTGACTGACACTTTGGAGAAAAGCGTCTGCTAAATGCATAAATGTAAATGGGCTGCATGATTGACAAAAATCATAATTGTTGATTATTACCTTGAAATTGAAATTGAGATTATTAATTACCATTATCACAGTTTACATTGAATGATGTTTTGAATAGCTTTATACCATTGTTTGAAGCAACTTCTTGCCATATTTTTATATGAAAATAAACAAGCTGAAAACACTCTTCCTGAAAAACCTTTATTGCTTTTGAATAGCATTAAGCCTCAAATGTCAACTATACATTGGTTTGGTTTCTTCTTTAAAAAAAAAAAAAAAAATTAAATATGTATGGTATTATAATGTTACACTAAAACTAAAATGAAAACAATGGGGAAAAAAACCTTAAGATAACCTGTAGAAAGAAAACACACACACATCTGAAGTATTCAGAATAATGTAAGCGGACCTTTTTTTTTTTTTTTTTTTTTTTTTTTTTTTTAAAAAAAAAAAAAAAAAAAAAACTCTAGCTTTCTATTCTACTTGTTTTTCTTTGTTTGTGTATATATATATATATATATATATATATACACACACACACCTTGCTACGTGTACTGCGTTAGGCTAACCGAGACTTGTCATTTGCACTTATATATTGTTGCTCATT